GTTTGCCATCTCTCCCCTTTTTGACACGTCAGTTCCCAGGCCTTTGTCACTCCCAGGGCACACATTCACAAATGCTTTCTGCTAAGGACAGCTTTTGGCCACCAAATGAATGCTATGTTTCCTTGTACTTAGTCTGGTAATTAGCATAATTAGACTTCCCCTGTCCCGCTCCCTGGCCGCTGCCCCATCTCCACCATCTCTCCTGGCCTCCGCTCTATTCTCCTTTCCTCACTCAAACAACTGCCAGGCTCCACTCAACAAGGATTTAATGAGCTGCCCCCGCAGACTCTGGGCTCACTGCAGAGTCTCCTTCTGTGAAACTACCCCCCCCCCCCCACGGTCTGGAGAAGATGCCTTTGTCCTTGTGGCTCTGCTGTGGGTGAATAACCCTCAGGGGCACAGTGGTTCCCCTCTGGGCACAGAGGCCTCACGTTCTCCCCAGGAGGGAGAAATCCAACTCTTCCCCACCCACGAGGATGGAGAAGGTGGGGAAGTTCGAGAGCCCCTGAACGGCACAGGCTGAGTGAATGAAGATCCATTACCCAGGAAGAGCTGGTGCAGAGAGGGCCGCCCGCCCAGCCGCAGCCATGCTTCTGCCAGCTGCTGCCTGCCGCAGGCCACACCATCACCAGCCTACAAAGCACAGCAACTTCTAGAGTGCACGGCTCACGGTGGCCTTGATGTTCCCTGACCCCTGGCCAGGTAACTGAGCAAGAGGTCTCGGGGAAGGTGGAGCTTCCCTCTGCCCTCCCGCCAGCATTGTGACGCTTCCACCGACGCACAAGAGCGCAGGGCTCACCACTTCCCTACAGCCTCGCCTCTGAAAACAGCTCGTAAACGTGCATCAGAGGGAAATAATCCTTCTATTCCACCTCTTATTAGTTCCTGGAACTATGCAGCCTGGTGAGTCTGCTGGAGATGACAGAGGGCTCGCATGATAAGGAGACACAACTGGCCAAACTACCTTTCATCCTCCTTCTGAAGATAAGAGTGTAGACGCCAAAGTCAGGAGCTAGCAACACCAACCTGCCATGCCAACAGGCGCTGTGTCCACAGTGTCTTCTTCTTCCTCGTGGGCAGCCCCCCAGGGGGGCAGGTGGAAGCCCTAGACAGGGAGATTTGGGAACTGCCCCCAGAGGAACAGCCCATCAACTTGTCCGTTTCCTGAAGTCGCTCAAATTGCTTTATGACCATTATTTCATTGATCCAAGGAAGGAAAGAAATGAAAAGAGCAGAAGTCTTCTGGTTTTAACAACAACAACAGAGAACGGGGTAGAGGTGAACTAGCCACTGTTCACCCCAAAAGTCAGTGAAGAAGGACAGAATCCAACCCCTGGCCCCCCGGCCACGGCAAATCAGGCAGGGCTGACTGTGTGTGTGTGTGTGTGTGTGTGTGTGTGTGTGTGCTTGCGCGCGTGCGCGTTCAGCCCGATTTCTAAAGACAGGCTGGATTTAACCCCTCTTGAAGGATACCAAGCTACAAATCCTCCTGCCCTGTCTTACCCCAACTCTGTCAGTAACAGAGACACTCACTAGCGTCATTAGAAGGAAAAACTGTCAGCTAAGTGTTTTGAGAAGGTGTGGCTGGATGCATTCTGTGTGTTTCCCCTAGAGCCAGACTACGCAGGCAGTCAAAAACACGAATTTAATGAGCTTATAAATTCAGAGTGACTCTTCGCATCTTACAGTGAGGTCTGGGGCTCAGCTGCTCTACCTTCAACATCAAAGAGGTTGTCACTGGCCGCTCACCCCTGAGCACTTCCTGCGGAGACTGCCTCACGTGTGTCTTCCTCAGGTTGTCCTTCTGCCCAGGTAACTGGCCCAAGCCACTCAGCCCCAGTGTCGTGCAGAGGGAGATTACGACTCCTGGGATTCAAAGATGCCTCCCGATGTTTTATCTCCTTCCTTTCCCTCTTGGTTTGCTCCCTGAAATGCCTCTTACACAGTACTGATACCTTTTAGCAACCTACACGCTTCTTACAAGAGATGGGGGCCTATCCTGCTTCATTCCTACAAATTCACAAGGTTTTCTCATGCTCAAGTTCAAAGCACTCTAATCTCAGTAATCACTGTTTTCTGTAATGCTATTCTAGCCTTTTCTATCCACAGTATTTCTAAATGTTAATGTAATTGAGCTTAAAAAATACTGCACGTTTAGCACAATTTGGCAAACAAATAATGTACTGTGCCTTGCTGACAGGCTAAGTCCGACGCAGGAAGCCACGCCGTCAGCAGCATCGCCCCACGGAGGACTACAAATCCAAAACCGCCACAGGGGCTCCTGAAAGGCACACGTGGTGACGTCATTCACCTGGGACTTGGCCGCCCTGGCTGGATCTAAAGGTGCTCTCCCTTCCCAGGCTGCCTGTCTTTCAGAACTAATTTTCAGGATGCCACGTCAGTATGCGACCCTCTTTCTGATCCAGGCCACTCTGGAGACTAAGAGAGAGCAAGCCCGCAGCCCCAGGCTAGCCTTGTTGATGTTCAGGCTGTGCGTGACCTCACTGTGCCACACCACGGAACTATCTGTTCATTAAGCAGACAGATAACCTTATAACTAGGGCAACTACACATACTCTGACTTCAGCCCTTGGTTCCAGTCCTTTCTCTCCAAGACGAGAGTACCTAGAGGGAACTTCTCACTGACAATAACACAGCAGAGCTCTCCTCACACCCCAGACTCACACCCCCAGGACGAAGGCAGACTCCTTCGTCCTAGGTCACCCCCGGATGTCCCACAGCCCCGGCCTCTGCCCCGATAGCCTGGGCTTCCTATGTGAGTTTGTTTTGTCCGTTATTCTTGTGGGTTTTTCTGTGTTTCTGATGATATAACCAAAACAAAAGAGAAATCCTATTTCTATGTACTCTGGTTGACGGGTAAGAGCTTTAAGATAAAGGATTCTTGGGAAAACCATCAAAACATCCAAAGAATTCGTGGCGCAAAACTTCCCCGTGCCACTCTGTCACCTGCGAACCAGTGGGAGTCCCAGACCCGCCCTTCCTCAGCTGACCGGGCCCGACCAGATGGGCATTAACAGCCTGTGCTGTCTCCGTCCCGACCGAATCGGTGCCCAGCCAGTTCCCTCCAAGGGCTCCCCAGAGACGCTGCCCGACAGAAGTCCTTTCTAGGGGGTGCCAGTGCCTTTTGGGAAGCCCAGCACCGGTCTGCAAGTGCCGCCCCCATCCTGCTGCCTTGGACAGGCACAGAGGGAGGGTTCGGGGCACAGGGGTGTCCTGGGGTGTCGCAGCCCAGGTCCGACTGAGGAACAGTGCCCAGTGGGCATGGGGAAGGCCTGGGAAAGGAGGGCGCCGCCTACACGTCTCGGCACAGGCCTGAGCTGGGAGGCTGAGCGAGGAGCTAAGTGATGAAAAAGAAACGCATTCTCTGGGGTGATCAGACTCCCATATTAGGTTGTCTGGCTTTCTTTTTGAAAAAACTCATCTCCGTAGCATCTGTTTTCCTCTGGGCACGTGAAACTCACGTTCTCTTCTTCAAACCTCTTCCGGAGGCAAGAGAAGGGAGAAGAAACTGGTTCTGAGTCAATACCAGGTTAGGCTGGGAGTGGACGGGCCGTTCTCTGTACGCGCACCCAATCTAACCAACTGACAGGTGGATCTGGTGTCTGCTAGTGTTTTGAACAAGGACCCGCAGCAGGAGGAGCCGTGAAAAGACCGCCTTGGCCTTTAGGAGCTTTGGTAGGGACGGGTCCGCCAGCAGGACTGCACCTGCCCCTAGTGGGCTCTGCGCAAGGTCACATTTTTCTGCATGGAAGCCTCAACCCTTGCCTGCTTTTCATTTAAGACGCACCTCATACTGGTAACAGAGTTTGATAGTTAGCCTCTGGTTTTTCTTTCCTTTAAAAAAAAGATTTTTATTAATTTTGAGAGAGAGTGGAAGGGAGGGAGAAAGGACAGAAACGCTGATCGGCTGCCTCATTCACAGCCCCCACTGGGGACCTGGCCCACAACCCAGGCATGCGGCGCCCTGGCCGGGAATCAAACTTATGGGACCTTTCAGTTCACAGGCCAGCGCTCGATCCACTGAGCCACACCAGCCAGGGCGTCTCCGGTTTTTCTGTCCTCCCTACGACTTCAGTGCTCCAAAAGAGCTTCGTATTTAAGTAAGCCCAAGGGGGAATCTCTGGCCAAGAGCAGACTGTGGCATTTCTGCAAAACGAGGACATCTTCCCAAATTCGTTTGCCTCACCTGAGGCTGGCACAAATCACTTTTTTTTTTTTGCAACTGGTTTCCACTGCCACCTAAACTGCAAAAAGGTAAATAGCCCACTGCTGTCTGGCTGCATCACACATTCTTTAAAGTCCTACAAATACAAGTAATTCTTACCAAAGGACTAGCATCGTAAGGAAAGAAGAGGTCATGGGAAATACTGACCAATGCAGCGAGCTCCGGGCATCCGAGCTCAGCTTCCCCACCCGCTCGGGTCGGCCCTGAGGGGATAATGCCTGTCGTTGCTGCCCGGCTTCTCCCGAGACCACATGTTCAGAACTGACAATTGGTGGCAGCCTGATGTGCGGCCTGGCAAAGGCCAGTGTGTTTTCTGTCTCAGGAACTGAGACTGCCTGAGAAAGCGGATGCCACATGGCGACCTCAGGGACATCTCCGTCATTCTGTGTCCATCAGTTCTCCAGCCCCCAGCCAGACACCCAGACTTTATTACAGCGAGTGCAGCAGACGCTCAAACCGTTCTCCAAAGGGACCTATCGGCAATTTTCATTTTCATTTTCCCCACTGAGTCAGTTTCCGTTTTAAAAAGACTTTGTCAGTAGTAAATGGACATAATTTCTCCTGCCGATTTGAGCAGGAGGGATTATTACTCCGATCACGCAGGCTCTTCTCAGATTAAAAAGTAATTTTTGCAAAAGAAGAGTATCTGGTTAAAAGTCAACCACAGTAACCGAAAGCTACCAGCACCTGGACTTTGGACAAATGCCAAAGAGGGCAGTTCCGGCATCTTCCTGGGAAGGAGGGAAAGAGACTCGCCGGGAGGCCGGACTCTGACACACGCGATCACATAACAAGATGAAGTAAAATGCTGGAGCCTGTTCAGCCGCCCTGCTTCAGTTAGAAGGTGCTTTTAACAATGTTAGGAAAGCGAAACCGCTGTGGGTGGGGTGGAAGTGCCGCCAGCCGCCCTGCCGAAGGAAACCTGACAATTGCGCCTACACGACGGACGTGCCCACTGGCACAGCGGCGGCACCGAACGGCCTCCAGGAGGGCGCCAGCCGCTGGAGCGACTCCCCCCGGGGGGCTGCACCTATGCTGGTGACCGCCAGCTCATCAGTGGGGCTGGTGAGCATTACCAGCCCTGACGTGCTGTTATTCCACAGCGTGATTAAGAAACAGTCACCCAGCAAAACAGAGGCGCACACGTCAGTGTTGGAGAGACAGCCCGAGGGAGCCGAGAGCCTGGTCAGGAGTCTTGGTGGCGGGATGGGAGGGACGGGGCATAAGGGCAGGACCAGGCGGGCTGGGGAGGTGAGTCTGAGGCCAGCGTCGCAGTGCCCTCTCCTGGAAAGCTGGGAGCACGCCACGTGGGCTGCAGGACAACCCCTGGCAGGCCGCGCGTGGGGCTTCTTCCACCCAGGTGTGCCACTGCCCCCTGTTGACACGCTGCTCTTCAGTTCACCGGATGGGCCACCGGAGTGAAATTCTAGATACAACGCCCACCAGGTGGCCTTGAGCAAGACACAACCTTCCCAGGCTCGGTTTCCACGTCTGTAACAAGGGAGTGATGGCGACATCGTCCTTGTGCACCTCAAAGCACTGTCGTCAGGTGGAAATGAGTGGAAGACCGTGTCTAGCTTTGCCTGCCTTCTGCCCTGACATAATCCAGGTCACCTTGCTGGGGGGGGGGGGGGGGGGCGGTTTCTCCCGTGTCCCTGAACTATGAGTAAACTATAAAGAATATGTAGTTGTGTTATCCTGAGCTTCAAAGCCACTTTACAAGTGGTTTCTCACTTCTAGTAGCTTTAATAACTTCACAGTTGTTTTTAAACACACTTTTAAAATTAGATTGTATTTATTTATTTTTACAGAAAGGGGAAGGGAGGGCGAAAAAGGGAGGGAACCATGTGCGAGATCTGTTGGTTGCCTCTCACACGCCCTCAACTGGGGACCTGGCTCACAACCCAGGCCTGCGTCCTGACCAGGCATCAAACCAGCAACCTTCCAGTTTGCAGACCAGCGCTCATTCCACAGAGCCACGCCAGCCAGGCTTAAACACACTTTTCACAGCATTTTTTCTTATAAGCATTTATTATCATTTAAATCAATTTTCTGGCAATATGTTCAGTGCCTAAATCCCCCACTAGATTATGAGTCCCCTAAACACTGGAACCTGTGTGTCCTCTGCCATCCTCGTACCTCCGGTCCCTGCCTAGCGTGGTGCCTACTTACAGTGAATGCTCGGTGATTATCTATTGAATAATCACGTGGATGAACCGTAGGGATTGGGGCAGGCCAGCCAAAGACAGAAAGAGCAAAGTCGGGTACCGGGCGGGGGAGGATGTCTTTTCTCAGGAGCAGTAACACGAACCGGTCTTAGAATCAAAAGGCAGGGTGATAAAGAGATCCGAAACTAGAGCCAGGGACTGCATGCACAGCTGTGTGAACGCACCAGATGCCACCGGACTGTACACTCCAAGTCGTGTGTTCTGCGATTTTCAACTCGATCATTAAAGAAATGAAAGGACCAAATTGTAATGTCATCATGATGACCCACAGTTCAGACACTTCACAAGTACCTGGTGAAGTCAACACAGAGAGGGTAACTTTTATTTCATGCTCGATGCTGTACAGAAACATCTCCCCATGAACGGGTTTCATTACTTCCTTCCGACGTCGACTCGCAGACGAGGAGAACGAGGAGCACCGATGTCCAGCCAGTGACTTCCTCTCCATTCCTCCAACAGGCCAGGTGCGCTCGCCACGCACAGACCGTCCTGCTGCTGGCCCCTGGCCTGGGCGGGGCTTCCTCCAGACAGCTGCTCCCCCCTCACCACTTTCTGGGCCCTGCTTTGGAGTTGCCCCATCGAAACATCGACAAGGCCACCCCCAACTGCCCGTCTAAAAGAGCACGCACGCACCCTTGTCACACTCTCTGCCTTACCCCACTTGGCTTTCCTTCAAAATTCTTAGCTCACGTGACACACTGACATGAGTTTTCTGTCTTCTTCTACAGTGGCATAAACTCCAGGACATCAGGGGTATTTGTCGGTTTGTTCTCTGTTAAAGTTCTGACATCTGGAATAGCACCTTGTAAATAACAGGGGCTTACTCACCATTTGTTAAATGAACAAGCAGTAGAATTTTACTACAAACTCAGCTGGCTCTTCTGAGGGAAGAGCTTTCTAGGCCAAACCACAGGAATGAAATTATGATGCGACTGAGTGAAAATACCAGTTGTTAATGCACTGTAACAAATCGCCCCCCTGTTGTATCCCTGGCACAGTGCTACCCACGTAGTATTAGGCCTTTGTCTACACATCAGTAAGAAACCGTGGATTCTGAGCAATACAGACACGAACAGAACTGGCCACAACACACGTCCAGGTCCCGGCCCAGGCATGCACATCGGGGGTGGGGCGTCTCTAAGAAGGAGAGGGACAGGGAAGGAGGGCGTGCCGGGCAGGGGTCAGAGTCCAAGGAGCAGCAGAGCATTCTGTGTGGGCACGGCTGCGGGGTCATATTGATCCGCAGCGCGAACCTTGTACAGTCAATTCTAACGCCCAGGAAAAGCGGGCAGGGCTGGCCTCCTGAGAGTTGGGTCCGTGCGGTCTGACGGGACGAACTCCCTCGCCAGATGGATGGTGAACCTCTGAGGCCCAGCAGCCTCTAAGAAATGTGTGCCCTGCAGCCACAGCCTCCTCCAGTTCCTGAATCAGGGGGCCAGGCACGATGGAAAACCAGTGTCACACAAGGACGAACGTTGGCCGTCAAACTCCTGAAGCTCTGGCATCAGCTCTATTTCTTGAACCTGTTGAAATTGGTGTCCCTAAGTGTAATTTACAAACTGCATACAAATTCACATGAGCATAAATTTCATCCTCTCTCCAACCAGACCACTACCACCTGTGGGAGACTGTTACATCCTAAATGTAACAAAATAGCCCTGACTGGTGTGGCTCAGTGGATTGAGCGCCCCGCCTGTGAAACAAAGAATCATAGGTTCAATTCCCAATCAGGGCGCATGCCTGGGTTGTGGGCCAGGTCCCCAGTAGGGGGAGTGAGAGGCAACCACACAATGATGATTCTATCCCTCTCTAAAAATAAAAAATAAAATATAGAACTTTGAAAAATGTTCTGAAATTGAATTTCTGCAGAAAATTTCAAGCTATGTAAGCTATGGCATGCACACACACAAGTGCATGCACACATATTTTTGCCCAAAGCATTCTTATTATACGCCCAAAGCACACAGCTCAAAATTCAAGCAAATTACTCATTCCAAAGCAAATTAAACAGATAAAAACCATAGCATGATTTGTGTAGCTGCCACCACCTTTGCCATTTTCCGTGATACAACCGATACATTTTATTTGACTCGGGGCTGGTTTCAGGAACTGCGACTGTCCGCCTTTGTCCTGCATTACGGTCCGTGAGCCTCCCCACTGTGGGCACCGGAACATGGGCAGGCATTTAGTTTTTCTCAATTCCCACAGCGTTTAGAAACAAACAAAACAAAACACACTGTTGTTCTTACTTTATAGGCACTGCGTTCCTTAAAGTTCAGAAAGAGTATTTAGCCAATATTGGAGGCCAGGGTTTGACACGAGACTAAACGCTCAAGCACCGTCTGGCGTCAAACCGGACCAGCCTGCGGAGGTGGGCTGGGCCCCTGGAGCGTGGCTCTGGCCCACGGGAATCACAGGGCCCCGCTGCAGGGATGCGGAGGGACACTAGGCTGCTGCGTGGGCCTGGTGTGGCCAGGCCTTCTCATTTCTCAAGAAAATCAGAAACCCAGTTTTAACGTGAATCTCGAAGTTTCTAAATGTTAGCAATTAGTTCCGGAAAAGGTTTATGGTCTCGTTTCAGGTGTACATGGCCCATAGACCTGATTTCAGGGCTCTGTACACCTGAAACTAATGTAAAACAGTATTGAATGCCAACTGCAATTGAAAAAGAAAAAAATATTCAAAGGGCCCAACACAGCACACCTGTGGCCTGATGTGGCACCTGGGCAGCCTGTGCGTGGGCTCTGGGAAGAAGTAGGTGCTTCCAGTGAGTTCTAGGTCCGTGTCTGCCATTCGTTACCTGCTTCCTAGGGTGTTTGCTTCACCTCCCAGTCACTGGGCACTGAAACCCCGTCAGCTGCCGAAGCTCCGGGGCAGTGGCCGAAGGTGCGGATTCCCTTGGGTTCATATCCTGGCCACTGTCACAGTACACCTGCCCTATCGCTTTGATTGACCACTCTGGGCTCCAACGTCCTCATCTACAGAATTTGGATAATCACACAACCCCTCACGCCCTGGGAGGTGTGGCTCAGTGGACTGAGCGCTGACCTGTGAACTGGAAGTTCGCAAGTTCCATTCTGGTCGGGGCACGTGCCTGGGCTGGGGACCAGGCCCCCAGCGGGGGGTGTGAGAGGGGCAGCTGGTGATGTTTCTCTTGCACATGTTTCTCTCCCTCTCTATCTCTCCCCCTTCCCCTCTCTCCAGAAATAAATAAATAAAATACTAAAAATAAATAGTATGACCCCTCTCATAGGGCTATGATGGGATTAAATGAGATACTGCATGCAAAATGCCTAAATGCAGAGTCAGGCTGATAATACAGATCAACTACTGTTGTCTGGGGCCTCCCTCCTTACCATCCATTCACAATTAATCGCAAACCCTTTTAAACAGGACACCGGAGACCCTCTCCAATCCATCCTGTCGTTTTCATTCCCATTTCTCTGCCTTAGCTCGTAGCCTCATTCTCTCCACCCAGACTGCTCATGGTGGTCTGATAACGGCACCTCCTGCTCTACTGAGCACCTGCCCTGTGCCAGCAAGAGCGTCCCCCGGCAGCCCACTCCTGCCCGCTCCCACGCTGAAGCCAGTTGATTCTGATCTCTTGGCTGGGTAAGTTACACAAAGCAGAGATCGGTGTTGTTCTCCCTGTCACCTACAAAACGAAAGCCAACCCCCTTAACCCTCCACCCCAGGCCATCTCTGCGCTCCCCAGCCCCCATCCCACCTGTCACTGTAACTGTCTGCAACCCAGTCCCATGAAACCACGTTCTTGCCTTTTCCTGACGAGCCATCCAGTTTCTGGTCACTGTATCTTGGCGACACTATTCTTTCTGCTTAGAATATTTATTTTTCCTCTTCTGACCTAATGTCGACCCCTCCCCAACGTCTAAGTCCAGGCCAAAATGGTCATCTCCACCATGAAGCCTCCTCTAGTCGTCCCTCTGACCAGACCCCATCCATGGTCAGGTCCTCCCTCCTCTGTGGTTGCCACCGCCCTGAGCACACGGCTCCTGGTCAGCTCACCTCACTGTGCACAGTAATGTACTGTTCGAGACATCTGTCTCAGTGTGGGGAAGGAGGACAAGGACAGGACCTGGCCCTGTGCCTTGGTGCATGGTCAGTGTTTCCTAAGAGGGCGTTGAATAAGAGCCCAACAATAATGTCACTTTAAACACATCCTGTTGCAAGAAACAGGGACCTTTGGAAACCTGCAAAGAGAGACTAGAATACTAAAAACACATAAAATCACTCAGGAGCCCTCGACTCCCTGAAATGTAGGCATTTTGGTTAATTTTAGTAAAAAGAGTTATTATAAAGTTCAAGCTATCTGGGCGATTGAAAATATCTGTACTTACATGGTGGCTGTCATTTGTCACAGTGTCTTGGTCTTCACTTTTTCTTTCTGTGGCTTCAGTGGGATGCATCTGCTATCACAAGAGAAGATGTGTTCCAGCCAAAGAAGAAGTCTGATTATTTTGGTCTGTAACTGACATACCGTTCAGCGCAATCTGAGAGACCCGCACAGCCGCGCACTGTCCATCCGGACCGCAGGCCCCTGCAGGCCTCTTCTCCCGGGAGGCCCCAGCAGTGCTCCGATGGCACAAGGGCGGCTGATGCTTGGTGATCTCCCAGGCCTGTTCCTTGGCGAGCCCAGGGAGGACACGTGGCAGGCGTCCGACAGCCAGTTCATGAAAGGGTGTGATTGCGGGAGGGTGGTATCTGGTTCTGATCTGGCTTTCACACTAAGACCTCTGCTTGGGGAAAAAAAAAAAGAGGCGACAACTTCTCAGTGCTCAGAGAATCCCCAGAGAAGACTAGGAGCGGATGATCTCAGGAAAGGCAGAGACCTGGGAAAGAAAATAAACATCATTGTTTTTGGCATTTATGGTCTTAAACACGTGCCACTGAAGCGCTCATTCAACAAGCACTCACTGAATGAATGGAAGGGCTGTCGCCCAGCCTCACTCCCCACCGCGCAGGTGGGATCAGAGCCCTGGCTTTGGCAGGGTTTCCAGTGTGGCTCTGCGGTCCGGCTGCCTGGGGTCACAGCCTGGCCCTCGAAGTTTCTGGTGGGTGGAGTTGCTAGAGTAACAGTAGTTCTTACCTTAGAGTTGTTGGAAAGATTAAATGACAGAGAACATGTGAAGTGCTTAGCATGGTGCCTATGAAATTATTCTGATTACTGTATGACAAAGTTCAGTAAACGTGCCTTGGTGTGGTTTAGTGGACTGAGTGCTGCCTGCAAACCAAAGAGTCGCTGGTTTGATCCCCAGTCAGGGCACATGCCTGGGTTGGCGGCCAGGTCCCCAGTAGGGGGTGCACGAGAGACAACCACACATTGATGTGTCTCTCCCTCTCTGTCTCCCTCCCTTGCCCTCTGTCTAAAAATAAATAAATAAAATCTTTTTTTAAAAGTTCAGTAAATGTTAGCTATCATCACTGGTCAAAAAGACCCTACTACTAGACTTGGGCCTTCTGTAGCTTATCTTGCCAGCTCTGTCCACACCCAGTCATCTCCACTTCATTGACCAACTACGGGATCAGAGTTCCTTGAGAATGGAAGAAAAAACCAGCAACGGACTTCTAATCAATAGATAAGCGGGAATATGGAGGCACGGAGATGGAAAGAAGCCACATACACAGAACTTCCGGTCACGCACAGGGGCTCAATCATAAAAATGGGTGTGGACTCCCAATGGCCATGCTCGAAGGGACAAAACAGAGGGCATGCCTTCAAACTGCTGGGGGAAATTCTACACATGGACACACTTCAACTGTGCAATGAAGACTTTTTAGGCATTTGAGGCTCCAGAGAATGTGAGATATTCTAAGGAACAGGGTCAGTTATTACAGCAGTTCCTCAATAGATGTTAGATGGTATTGAGCCAGGTAAAGTCACTGAATGTGACGAACTGTTTCAAACCACAAATCCATGCTGAGTGCCTACTATACGTTGGTTTGACAGCGACTGGAACTGGTAACCCAAGACATGCTAGTGGGGGAGAGATATGTAATAAACAACTACAGAAGGAAGACTCTGAGTCAGAGTGATGAGGGCTACAGAGAAGGAGAAACTGGGGCCTAGAAGTCCAGCTTCCAGGGTACAGGAACTGCAGCAAGCAGGAGAGCAAACTAAATGGCACCATCTGGACAGTCAGAGAACTCTAGAATGTTGGACATCTACAAGAACACAGGCCTGAAATTCCTTAAAAAGTATTCAAAGTCATTAAAACAAAATAAGAGGGAGATGAATGTACATTCAAAAGAGATAACAGCCCTGGCTGGTGTAGTTCAGCGGATTGAGCGTGGGCCTGAGAACCAAAGGACTGCGGTTCAATTCCCAGTCAGGGCACATGCCTGACTGGGTTGCAGGCCAGGTCCCAGCAGGGGACGCATGAGAGGCAACCATACATTGATATTTCTCTCCCTCTCTCCTTCCCTTCCCCTCTAAAGATAAATAAATAAAGTCTTTAAAAAAAGAGTTAACAATCAAATTCCAAAAAATGAGCCTGGATTGGATCTTGGGCCAAGGAAAAAAAGTTATAAAAGATGGTTTGGGAATAAGCAAGGATATTTGAATATAGACTGAACATTAGATGATATAAAGGAATTACTAATATAATTTATTAAATTAAAGTGTAAATATAGTTTTAATTAAGTGTCTTTAGGTATTATGGCTATGTAGGGGAATGCGGTCTTAGGAAGTACGTGCTGAAGCATAGAGTGACCAAACAGATCAAGCAAACTGGTACCAGCTGTTGAATCTAGATAGAGAGGATTGAGTTGTTCATTGCCCTTTCAACTTTTCTGTACATATAAAAAT